ATGTAAAAGAAAAAGAAATATATAATATATATATATATAAGGCGACAGAAATTATCTCTTTCACAATAGAAAAAAAAAGTGGTTTTCTTTGTTCCTTATAGAGAAGAGAGAACATTAGAAACTTGTGGTTCATAAAGAGAAACAATTTTGTGTTTTTCCACAACTTTCGATTATTGCATTTATCCATTCTGAACACTTTGCAAGTGGTAAAAGACAGGGTTTTAACAAAATAAAACCAGTCTTTGGTAAAAAAAAAAAATATTTAAAAATCATCATGTATGTGTATACTGTGTTCTTGATGACAGGCCATAGGATGAAAGAGAAACAGATTTTGTTCAGAAACAGAGTAAAAAAACTGTGAAACATCTCGTTTCTTTTCTTGTGTAAGGCATCACTATAAGACAGGGGCGATGACATGGGAAACAATGATGATGATGATTTATAATGAAGATGAAAATGACTAATGGAGGGGGAAATGAGGAGCAAAACTCATGAAAAGCTCAGAAAAAAGCGTTTTTTTTTTTTTAACGTAGCATTAAGTGACCACGTCATACTTGAGATTGCTGTTATCTGTGATGAATGTGATGATAGCAATGAAGATGATAACCAAGGCAGTAGCAATGATCTCTATGATGGGAGGGGGGGGGGGGGGGAGAGGAGGACCATGGTGATCATGATAACAAATATGATGATGATAATGAAACTGAATACGATGAAGATGATGCATGACATGGTAGGTAGGTATGATGATGATGATAACAAGGGCAGATGGATATTGACAAAATGGATGGGCGCCGAAAGACTTGCACGGGCAGTGGTGCCAGCTCAATAGCTTGATTTTCATCAGAAATAAGTATTTGTATAAAAAACTCATGTTAAATACCAGAAGTAACAAATGTAACATGTTTTTTTTCACATCGTCTTTGTACACAGGCAATAAGAACTTGCAATGATATGCTATGAGTAAATACAAGTGTTTGCCTTTTTGCAATACAAAAAAGAAAAAGCATTCAGATTCGTTTCACAGCTACAGAGGAAGTTTGCCATTAAAATTTTCTAAAAATCCAGTTGTGTCCATCCAAAAAAAATATTCTTGACATTCTGTGTCTTTATATTATCTGTATTTTTTTGTTTGTTTCAGAATTTCAGATTTTTCTTTCTTCTGAGTGACAATTGGTGACACTGTGTTCATAAAAATTCTATTTACACTTTGGTAGCCTTATTGCTTTGCACACACTGATGCTAAAAACACATTTCAATTCATTCCATGATAAAAGCCAAAATAGAGGCAAAAGAAGCACACCCTGCCAGTAGATAAAAAGCAACTTTGCTGTTCCCATGATTTTGACATTTTTCTATAAAAAATATGTACACTAAAAGATGATAGTAAAAATGCTAAGCATTTAAAACAATGTAATAAAACTAGTAAGTTTTCAAGACAGGAGATAAAACCAAGGAGGAACTCCAAGGTCATTTAGCTGCGTTCATATTAACAGTCATTTTGCGAATTGATTTTGTCTTCACACGTTCAATCAGACGAATAATATGTACATGCACATGTGAAATTAGTTGGTCCACATAAAATTCAGTGTAGGCTCCGAACAGCTGCCACGGAAGGCAAAAGAACTTTTCTTTGCGATAGGACACCCTGCTTCAGATTCTTTAACAAGAAGGAGAAAGGTGGGATCATAGAATTTGTCATCTCCCGAGAAAGAGAAATGTCTGTCGTCCACTTCATGTAAAGACTTTGGACAGAAGCAATAGCAGGCAGTACAAAACTGTCACAAGAGCGCAGAAGACTTCAAACCGAAATTGCTTCTGAAAACGTTTTCTTTTGCTTTTTTTCTGTTTAATACTGAAGGCGGGACACCCACTAGGTAGACATTTCCCTTTAGCACAGCCAAAAAAGCTCTTTTTAAGTGTTCAGAAACTGGGGGTGGGGGGGTGGGGAGGGAGAACAGTCAAAGGAGTGAGAGGCAACGTTACTGAAGACCTTCTCGTCACACATTACGTCGAACAGACAGATCTTCAACATTCATAGGATCCAAGAGTTTTGTGTTTTTTAGGGGAAGTCTGAATTTTGTACACAAAGTATACATATAATAGGGCGATTCGAATGAACAAATAATAATAATATAAACAAAAAAAAACATGACCCAAATCGAAAGGGTTGATAAAACGTCAGAATACATAGCATACATTTTGCGCACAACATGGTAGGAAATATCACTTTTCTCCCGCTTTGGGGACGTGTACTGACCCACGAAGACTCGGCCGTCGCAGACAGGAAAGTCATTAGAATAATAAATATTATTACGACTAACCCGTCTTCCTGGCTTAAAAAAAAAGAAAAGTGGAAAGAGGGGAGATCGTGTAGAGACAATAATAAAAAGAAAATTTTCTTTGAGTGTTTTGTGAGATGTGTTATTGCGCAATGAATTTTGTTTTGTTTCGCAAAGTTGAGATGTCTTAAGTTTTCTACACACCGGTGGTTGCTATAAACTTGTGAAAAGCTAGCACCAAGGCGCAGATGCACAGCCTCTATCTCAACGTTTCCTTAGAGAGAAAAAAAATAGTAGTAAAGTTTGATCACCAAAACGATCACATTGTGATTTGTTCGAATAAATTAGAAATAAATATATCTTTGTATCATACATTATCTTGCTCTTCCAGGGGTGTTTATATTAAGACATACCCAAGGCTTCGCCAATCGTGTGTATGTGCTTTTTAATTGTTTGGAACAAAAGAGCGCTACACCACAAACCTCGAGTATGGCCTAACATAAAGTAAAACACAATCCAGCGTCAGGACATTGCACGGCGTATCACGATCAAAGAAGGAGTATCACACATTCTGTCTCTGAATTATTTACTCTCTTTCGAAGCTTTATCACTTGTCATTTCATTGTGTACTGCTTGTGGTTCGTGTTTTGTTTCGCTTTTAAAAAATGTATGAATGCATTGGCGCCATGGCCGTGGAATGATAGGAACCAGGTGAGCCCAACTACATCTCAAAATTCTGCGCGGCCGAAGCCAAACAGAAGAGAAAACAATCCCTCCCTCCGTTACCCCCCGCGGGTGGGCGTGTTATAGAATCTCCCGACCATCACCAAATTTAAGGAAGACATTTAACCATGTATAAGGACATCAGGCTTGGCCAAACGTTCAGATGGGAGCTTAGCAAGCTTGATCGCCACGTCCTTTTTGCTGTGACAGAACGGAAGACTTTACAGCCTCCGTCGGTAACTTCCAGTGAACTGGTGGGCTACCCACTTCCTACCATTCAACCGATGCTATTTCTCCATATATGGACTGATGAGCAGTGAGCGAGTCGTTTACTTTTGGAAATAAAAAGCAACCCAACAAAGCCTCTACTGAACTCCATCTATCTATGAAGATGTGTGCAGAAAATAAAATACCAAACCCCGCATTCTAGTGTGGAAAAACAGGGCTGTTAGACTTAGTTTTTATCACAAGAGAGGGGAAATTCGGATTTTATGTGGAAAAGAAAGATGAATGTAGAGTCTAGTTTTAAAAAAAAGAAGGTAAGAGATAAAATTATGATGGCCAAAGTCTTCTTAACAGTCAGTAACGACCCCAAACACGAATACATATTTATATATCAATACACATTACAAAATATTATGACAAAATTATCAAAAAAAATCATAATAATACAATTGTACATTTGTACCAAATGTTATCGCTTGTGATAACTTGTGGGATTTTTTCTCCAAAATTACAAACAGAACATATTTACAAATGCTGGTGTTTTTACATCACCTAGAACATGAGCACGGGTAATAATAATAATATTGAGAATAGGGATGTTGGTTTCGTTTTAATGAGGCCGAGATGAAACTTGAGACAACGTTCATACTGTGAATTACCGACAGGAATGTTATGGGAATTGTGCAAAGGCATAAAATGATGTGACTACATGTGAGAGAGAATGATTCACTGATTGTGCTGAAGGAAACTACTACAAATAATGTTGGTAAATTACGATGGATTCTTATTATATAGAGGGACAGCATTGTTAAAATAGGTGATTGATAAGGACGGAGTTTTTTTTATTTCGTTAGCTTTGCTGCCTAGAAAGACGTGACTCGCGAATGATAAAATGGGGCCGTATGAGACAGAAAAGGGGGGTTGGGGGGATGGGGGTGTTGAGAGAGAGAGAGAGAGAGAGAGAGAGACAGACAGAGAGAGACAGAGACAGAGAGAGACAGAGAGAGAGAGAGAGAGGGAGAGAGAATTGTGCCAGCCAGCTGCTTGAATTCGCGGTAGCCAATAAAGTAGCCAATGCGCGACGAAGGCTTTTATATAGGTCAGGGTGAAAGTAAGGTATGTGAAATGAGGTCAAGCTTCGTGACTGAAAACTAGCGCGAGGGGTTTCTGATTCCGTTCTTCTGTTGGAAGGGGGACAC